TCACGCCAATTTTTGTGAAACTTTCGGGGTTTTCTCTGTCGGCTTGCTCACTCTTAACATATGGAAGAGGGCAATAGCTGTCACATGGGACAGGAATTTCGTTTTTTTTTATGCTCCTCGGCTAATTCACTGCATGTTGACCAATTTTCAAAGCTATTCGAGCTTGAGTCGTCTGAATGGGTTTCCTTTACGACTTTAAACTTGCTAAGATACATTTATTTTATCTTTTCTAGAAGTTAAGAAATTATTTATAATAATTTTCCTCGGGGTTCTTCTTCGCTTACTTACAATTATTTATAGCGAGATTTAAGTGAATATTATTCTTTTTATTATTTTTACTTTTGCTATGCTTACACGCGCCTTGTGATTTTAATTTAGGAACTATTTTCTTTCGTCAACTTTAACAGATGTTTTAGGATTTGTGATATCATTGACAACACAGATTGTGACATTCACTTTTCTTGGCCTTCTTTATATTTGCATGTCAATAAGTTAAAAATTGCAGTTTTGCCATTTCTATTTTCTATATAATCTGGATATGGTATATGGGCTGTTTTTAGTGGTTGATTGGGTGTGAGGAAGGGCAGGTGTGGATGATGTTTATGGCACTTGGTAATTATTTTGGTAATTCTTTAGTTACAGATGAAGTTTTTTACAAGCCATTAATATGCATATATTTCTACCCTAAAAGACAAAAAGAATATATTCAGCTTAAAATATCTTCATATTTCTTCACACATTTGCAGAAGCTATGCAAAATATTTATTGGACATTTTGGAAACAAAAACATTGAGTTAATCATTAACATTAAACGAAAACAATTATCAGCAAACAGGAGAAGTTTAAAAGGCAAATGACCAATTATTGTCCCGAGGAAAGGTCATTCTATATTTTCTGGACGTCACTTGGCACAATTTTTGTGTTCAGCTGTTTTTGTGATTTTTATGTTGGGTGTGTCCTTCGAGTAGCTTAAAAGATAGGCCGACCATTATAAAATGTAATTTTTGATTAAATAACCACAACATTTTTTAATTTATTTGAATTTGTTACAGTTCTCTCAATTCGCAATACTCAGGAAGAAGAGCCACCAGATCCACAGCTGATGCGCCTAGATAACATGCTGATAGCCGAGGGCGTTGCTGGTCCCGAAAAAGGCGGTGGAGGCGCAGCGGCTGCATCCGCAGCGGCCGCCAGTCAGGGTGGATCGCTGTCAATTGATGGTGCTGACAATGCCATTGAGCACTCAGACTATCGCGCAAAGTTGGCGCAGATTCGTCAGATCTATCACCAAGAGCTCGAGAAATATGAGCAGGCTTGTAACGAGTTCACTACGCACGTTATGAATCTTCTGCGTGAGCAGAGTCGAACTAGGTAATAACATTGAGGATGTGACTTATAAGTATTAGTGACTTATTAGTATATGTTGAATAATGTACTCTTTTTCTTTGACGCAGACCCATTACACCCAAAGAAATCGAGCGAATGGTTCAGATCATACACAAAAAGTTCAGCTCCATCCAAATGCAGCTGAAGCAGTCTACATGCGAAGCTGTGATGATCCTTCGTTCGCGCTTTCTAGACGCACGTCGGAAGCGGCGTAACTTTAGCAAGCAGGCATCTGAAATCCTCAATGAGTATTTTTATAGTCATTTGAGTAACCCATATCCATCCGAAGAGGCCAAGGAGGAGCTGGCGCGTAAGTGCGGCATAACGGTGAGTTTTGGAAATAAACTTAACAATATTGCAAAGCTAAGATATAATCTCATCTAACACCAGGTGTCTCAAGTATCCAATTGGTTTGGCAATAAACGCATTCGTTATAAGAAGAACATTGGTAAGGCACAAGAAGAGGCCAATTTGTATGCAGCCAAAAAGGCAGCAGGCGCTTCCCCCTATTCGATGGCGGGTCCGCCTAGTGGTACGACAACACCAATGATGTCACCAGCTCCGCCACAGGATTCAATGGGTTACACCATGGGCTCCGGAGGCTACGATCAGCAGCAACCGTACGACAACAGCATGGGTGGCTACGATCCTAACCTCCACCAGGATCTTAGCCCTTGAAAATAAAATTTATTAAAATATCTATAAATCTATTTAAATTGATTGCCACTTTATCTGGGAAAACTAATACACTATGTATACTTACATATATGTGACTACTGTCCTGCGTGTGTGTGTTAGTCTGGTCAGAATAGCATACTATCAATACTGTATACGATTAAATCTTAATAATAGAACTAATCTACTGGCACACAGATATCCAGCGCGTATTTATAAATAAGTTTATATTCCTTAACAGAAAACATTCTCTTTTACGTACATTTTTCTTAAATTTGTTTTCAACAATAAATTAAACATGTATTTTTTGCTTAAACATTTGTTTCCAATATAGTTTATGTCGCTTAGTCCACCAACAACAAAAACGGTGAATTTTTAACATATACGTAAAAGACAAAATTAACACAAATAAACTTTAAAGCCTACTAAATAAACGTTTCTTTTTTCTCGTGTTTTAATGGTAATTTCAAAAATATAATAACGATGTGAAATATTAACGATCGGGAACGTTGTGCGACGAGGCCTTGCTTGTATACCTGAGACTTAGCCAGATTTTAAAATATTTAATTCCGCTACACTTGTCATTCCTGTCATGCGTACATTTCAAGATGAAGAGAGTGTGGTGAGAGAGAGTATGAATGAGAATGAGTAACCGCGGGGAATGGGGGAACCGCAGGAACAGATACATTTTAAGTTGTTCATTCTGGCTATAATAATGATCCGAACCTCTACGCCAGGTAAGTATTGGAGCAAAGCTGTAACCAAGTTACATATTACGACGTGGCGATTTCCCCCTTGAAAGGCGGGTGGCCAAATAATTCCCCTCTACCTAAGGGTAGAGCGGTAACTTAAAACCTCAAAAAAAAAAAAATAATAATGATCCGATCTGATCTAGAGTCGGCAATCTACGAGATTGGTTATTCTCTGCGACTCCAGAGAAGGAAACGTTTCCTTCTGTGCGTTACATACAATATGTACGTATGTATGTATGTAACTAACTTGAGCGTTTCGATGCATTTAACTCTGTATCAATGTACAGGTTAGAACCATTCTTCTCGTATATTTGTACCCGGTACTCGTATGAATAGTATGAAGTATGAGTATGAATATATAACATGTAAACATTTCCGACCAAATTTATATCGCTATATGTACATATGTGCCAAGCTTCTGTAATATCACACTGTTACAAGTGTATTTCCAAACTAAGCCCCGCCCTTCCAATCACACAAAGGATAATATGTGGCATCCGCAATTTTAAAGATAAGGGAAAACCAGAAACGCAGTTCGGTAGAGAATGTCCATATCTATGAGTTTCCCGAATTGGGGTCAGATTGGATTATTATAGCCGGAATGAAAAAAATCATTCTCTCTCGTTCGCACACCCTGCCTCGTGCGATGTGTTGCTCTGTCGAAGCGGGTCGAGATAAAAATTCGTGTGAGAAGTGATGCAGATGTACATAGATGACATATGTAGAAACAATTTAGAATGTTAAATCTAAAAGTTGAAAAATCACATGGCATATTCTAGACATTCAGAGTTTAGAAAATTTGGGATTATTTATACGAATTCGTAATTTAAGCCATTGTCGCTCGGAATAAATACCCGTGTTAATCCCAGATGATATTAATATGGAAACGATAAGAACCGATAAGGACGGACTTATCCAATAATTCTATACTTTCTCCATGTATTGTTCTCCACCAAGCTCTATATCCAGTCTCAAATAATGCACCCATTGCTGTTTTCATCTAAAACTTGAATTTGTATCAGATTTCATTTTGTAAGCAAACATAAAACTGTGTAACCGGAGAACATGCACTTTGCCCACTTTGGTCATACTGGCCACCGAGCGAATATATGGCACTTTCTGTGACCAGAAAATTTAGCGCATATAAGTACTGGAATTATGGAGAAATGGCTGAACCAAAATTGGTTGATCGACGCTAAAAAAATTAAAGAATCGATTAGAAATCATACATGATTTTGCTGCCAGCTTTTCTAATTGAATTTCTGTTCCGCCGGAACGGGCCTATCCAATAGTGCGGCACTTTCCACATACATTGTTCTACACCAAGCTCCATATCCACTCTCAAATAATACACCCCTGGCTGCATTCATTAAAAACATGAATTTATAACAGATTTAATTTTGCAAGCAAACATAAAAAAGTGTAACCGTGGAGCATGCACTTTACCCACATTGGTCATACTGGGCACCGAGCGAAATGTATTGACGGTATATTTTAAAAACTAGAGGTATATTTCGGCATACTTATGAAACTCAAACAGTATATTTCATCGAAAAATCCGCGGTCACACTTGGTTCTAAATAATACAATATGTGCTAAAGCCAAATCCGAATTGAATTGTCATCTCCCGAGTTGTGCTTCTGAGTGTAAAAGACAACAAAATAATTGTACGCTTCTTATTTAAATTAAACTTATGATAATCGCTGTTACAAATCAAGGATTTTGCTCTTAAGTGCTCTGATAACTAGGGATAGGGTAATCAATTTTTTTTATGTAAGCAAGCTGATTTTATTTTGTTTATGTGGCATATGGCAGTACTGCCAGTTTGCTTGTGTAAAGAGCCGAGTCAGTGTTTGCATAAAAATATAATTAAATAATCCATATTTTTGTCATTTGTTTGTGAATAAATTAAAAATTGGTTTATTTTCCCTATTTTTTTTTTCACTTGAAGCTGTGTGATGTGTAAATGTGTTAGTGGATGACTAATTGTTAATAGCTCAACTCAACATGGCTGACTGTGGTGAGCAACGAGTAATCGGTCGATAGTGCTTTCTCATTTCTTTTCATACATCTCGCTCTCGCGTGTACTTACATACATATGTAGGTGTGTGTTTTCTTAATTTATTTGATTTTTTCTTCAATGAAAAGGAATAGATGTAATTTATTGAAAGTCATCAAACGAGTGAACACAACAGTTTTAGTTTCGTTTTGCTGTGTCCGTAACGACTTTTATGTACATAAATGTATGTATGTATCTCCTTTCGTAAAATTGTAGCACTCTGAAATAAAAAAAAATAAATAAATATCGGCAAGGCTAACAAAGAAAAACAACGACCACTGCACAAAGAAAACGTGAGATATTTCCTAAACAAAACATTTGAACATGTATTTATCTTTACGCATTATACGTTATTTGAATAAATACCAAAATACCTCTATAATCTTTTTTCATCCAGAATACGTATTTACATTTGTGAATTAAAGGAGGAATCTAAAGGAATCCCTAGAACTAAAGTCTGTCCAAGATGACGCAACCGCTACCTATTCGCTTTCAGGAGCATTTACAGGTGAGTTGTTAACGATCGCACTGCCTGACGTTTCTTACGCCGGTGGTGCGCGAGAGATGTCAGATTTGTGCATCCAATTGGTTTGTAGGTACATATGTACGTACATACAAACATGCATAGCTCGCATTCCAATTTAGCGTTGGGCATGCATATGTATTCAAGTAACCATGGGTCTGAGGGGATGGAAAATCACTTGTTGATCTTTTAAAAATCAAAAATCTATTTTACCGGAAACTTGCAAATCAACTGGGAATTAAAAATGAACAAATTTGATTTTCAGTGCATAAATATGTATGTATGTAAGTCTGGAAGTTAATGCCAGGTTTAATTGTGGGCGTTATTTTGTTTCACTAGATTGGAAACAAATTTAAAGGTCCACGACAAGTGAAATGGCGACTATGTAAAGTACATATGTACATACATACATACATATATTCTATAAAACTATGTGAGTCCGTTTGTCCATACGACTTGGAAAACTACTCTAATCTCTCAGCTTATAAGCTTCTTCTTGAGAAAAAATAAACTCTATTTGATCATACAAATCTGATGATAACTGCAACAGCAATGAAAACCTTCTGTCAAAAAATTTGAAAGCTCTATATTTGCCTATATAATATTAGATATTGGTCAAAGAAATTAACGCACTGAAGTGAAAGTTTCCAACACCATAAAGTATATACTAATATTCTCGATCAGAATCAATGAATGTTCTACGTATTTATGTATGTATGTATGATTATTTTTCCGACTTTAAAATCTACATAACTTCTCGCACCAACACGCCCTTTATCAGCCACTCTTTCTCAGTGTCGCATACTGAACGAGGCGAGAGAGAATGAGCAAGAACATGCAGTTCTTTGTTTTGATTTCGGCCGTCATGTTGCAGGTTTGTCCGATAGAAAAAATAAAAAAAATCATAATTTGACCTAGTTATGGTGTAAGGATCGAAAAACGCTTTGTTAGCTAGCAACTAGGCGCCAACAGCAACAAATAAAAAAAAAAATCAATTCGTAGCCCGTGGTATAAGCTGACAGATTGTTGATTTGTATCGTATATCGTATCGAGAAGAACTTGGTTGAAGCAGTGCGCCGGTAATGCAGTTCATGTCAACATGCTAAGCATGAGTTTGCGGGTTAGTTTTAAAATTTAATTTTACGGGCTTTTGGTGGGTGGATAAAGCAAAGCATTAGTGGGCGTAAAATGAACAATTCTTTACTAAAAGTGAAAGAAATAATATTAAAAAAAAATAAAATAAAATAATAAATTATAATCCAGTCCTAGAGTGTCCTGGAGTGTCGGCCACCCTTGGTCACACTTTGCCGAAATCGAAGGCATGCATATTGCAGGGTTTGGACAAACATTGTTCTTTATGAAGTTAATTATGCAATTTAATCGTATTTTCAAACGAAATATATGCTTACATTTTGCATTAGGATTATGGGATGAATAGTGATAATATACTATGAATTACCACAATCCCGTACCTATGTTAAGATATGTACAAACATATCTAAACTGATCGATAAATTTATTTTTTCATTTCTTAATATATGTGTATCAAGACTTAAGAGTAATACGAACCTTTTTCCAATAGCTCACAAATGTCGGGATCAACGCAAACTCGTTCTCATTCAGCACGCTCACGATGGAGTCGGACAAGTTTATTTGTGTGCGCGAGAAAGTTAATGATACCGCCCAAGTAGTCATCATTGACATGAACGATTCGACCAACCCCACGCGTCGTCCCATTTCAGCGGACTCTGCAATTATGAATCCAGCAAGCAAAGTCATTGCTCTGAAAGGTAAGACCAAATTCTAAAGCTTTAAAATACTTAAAGCAATTATCCATTTTTCCCCCGTAGCACAAAAGACGTTGCAGATTTTTAACATTGAGATGAAATCAAAAATGAAGGCGCACACGATGAATGAAGATGTTGTGTTCTGGAAATGGATATCTTTGAACACTCTAGCATTGGTGACGGAGACGAGCGTTTTTCATTGGTCTATGGAAGGCGACTCGATGCCACAAAAAATGTTTGATAGACATTCCTCCCTCAATGGGTGTCAGATAATCAATTATCGCTGTAATGCAACACAGCAATGGCTGCTTCTGGTTGGCATATCGGCACTTCCCAGCCGTGTTGCCGGCGCCATGCAGTTGTATTCCGTGGAGCGTAAGGTCTCGCAGGCCATCGAAGGTCATGCAGCCAGTTTCGCGACTTTTAAAATCGAAGGAAACAAGGAACCGACGACACTTTTTTGCTTCGCAGTGCGTACTTCCACAGGCGGCAAGCTTCACATCATTGAGGTCGGTACGCCGCCTAATGGTAACCAGCCTTTTGCCAAAAAGGCTGTCGACGTCTTCTTCCCACCGGAAGCTCAGAATGATTTTCCAGTGGCCATGCAGGTCTCCGCTAAGTACGATACCATATATTTGATAACCAAATATGGATATATTCATTTGTACGACATGGAGACTGCCACGTGCATATACATGAATCGCATATCGGCCGATACAATTTTTGTGACTGCTCCGCACGAGGTTAGCGGTGGAATTATTGGCGTCAATCGCAAGGGTCAGGTGCTATCTGTAACCGTTGACGAAGAGCAGATCATTCCTTACATAAACACTGTTTTGCAAAACCCCGATTTGGCCCTGCGAATGGCTGTACGAAACAATTTAGCCGGAGCCGAGGATCTTTTTGTCCGCAAGTTCAACAAGCTGTTCACTGCTGGCCAGTTCGCTGAAGCTGCTAAAGTTGCTGCGCTGGCTCCCAAAGCCATTCTTCGCACGCCTCAGACCATTCAACGATTTCAACAAGTGCAAACACCGGCAGGCTCGACGACCCCACCTCTACTGCAGTACTTTGGTATTCTGCTCGACCAGGGAAAGTTAAACAAGTTTGAGTCTTTGGAGCTGTGTCGTCCAGTTCTGCTGCAAGGCAAGAAGCAACTTTGCGAAAAATGGCTGAAGGAGGAAAAGCTTGAGTGCAGCGAAGAACTAGGTGATCTCGTCAAGGCATCAGACCTCACGCTAGCGCTCTCCATTTATTTGCGTGCCAATGTTCCCAATAAAGTGATTCAGTGCTTTGCGGAAACGGGACAATTTCAAAAGATTGTGCTTTACGCCAAGAAGGTTAACTATACACCAGACTATATTTTCCTGCTGCGTTCGGTGATGCGTAGCAATCCCGAGCAAGGTGCTGGTTTCGCATCTATGCTTGTGGCAGAGGAAGAGCCCCTGGCGGATATCAATCAGACTGTAGACATCTTCATGGAACACTCCATGGTACAACAGTGCACGGCATTTTTGTTAGATGCTCTGAAGCACAATCGTCCGGCCGAGGGTGCCCTGCAGACACGATTGCTTGAAATGAATCTCATGTCTGCCCCACAGGTGGCCGACGCCATACTTGGTAATGCAATGTTCACCCACTACGATCGGGCACACATCGCCCAGCTGTGTGAAAAGGCAGGTTTGCTGCAGCGTGCCCTAGAGCACTACACGGATCTTTACGATATAAAGCGGGCCGTCGTCCACACACATATGCTAAATGCTGAGTGGCTGGTTAGCTTTTTTGGCACATTATCGGTGGAGGACTCTCTGGAATGTCTGAAGGCTATGTTGACAGCAAATCTACGTCAGAATTTACAAATCTGTGTACAAATTGCCACCAAGTACCATGAGCAGTTGACCACCAAGGCGCTTATTGATCTATTTGAGAGCTTTAAAAGCTACGACGGGCTGTTCTATTTTCTAAGCAGCATTGTTAACTTCTCACAGGATCCAGAGGTACACTTCAAATACATTCAGGCCGCCTGTAAGACTAACCAGATAAAAGAGGTGGAACGGATTTGTCGTGAATCGAACTGCTATAACCCGGAGCGCGTGAAGAATTTCTTGAAGGAAGCTAAGCTGACTGATCAACTTCCGCTGATTATTGTTTGTGATCGGTTCGACTTTGTCCACGATCTGGTGCTGTATTTATACCGCAACAATCTCCAAAAGTATATAGAGATATACGTACAGAAGGTAAACCCTTCTCGCCTGCCAGTTGTTGTGGGTGGATTGCTTGACGTCGACTGCAGTGAGGATATCATCAAAAATCTCATACTAGTGGTCAAGGGTCAATTCTCTACAGACGAACTGGTGGAGGAGGTTGAAAAGCGTAATCGCCTAAAGCTTCTACTTCCCTGGCTTGAGTCTCGTGTCCACGAAGGCTGCGTTGAGCCCGCAACACACAATGCCTTGGCCAAGATTTACATCGATTCCAATAACAACCCAGAACGTTTCCTCAAAGAGAATCAGTACTATGACAGCCGCGTGGTCGGTCGCTACTGTGAAAAGCGGGACCCTCATCTGGCCTGTGTTGCCTACGAACGGGGCCAGTGCGATCGCGAATTGATTGCCGTCTGCAACGAAAACTCGCTATTTAAAAGTGAAGCTCGTTATTTGGTGGCACGACGTGATGCCGAACTCTGGGCGGAGGTCCTGTCTGAGGCCAATCCGTACAAGCGCCAGCTGATTGATCAAGTCGTTCAGACTGCTCTGTCAGAAACACAGGATCCCGACGACATTTCGGTGACAGTAAAGGCATTCATGACTGCTGACTTACCCAATGAACTGATTGAATTGCTGGAAAAGATCATATTGGACTCTTCGGTGTTCAGCGACCATCGAAATCTGCAGAACCTGCTCATACTCACTGCCATTAAAGCTGATCGTACACGCGTTATGGATTATATCAACCGACTGGACAATTACGATGCACCGGACATAGCCAACATTGCAATAAGTAATCAATTGTATGAGGAGGCATTCGCCATCTTCAAGAAGTTCGATGTCAATACATCAGCCATTCAGGTTCTGATTGATCAGGTCAATAATTTGGAGAGGGCTAACGAGTTCGCCGAGCGCTGTAACGAGTCAGCCGTATGGTCACAGTTGGCCAAAGCTCAACTGCAGCAAGGCTTAGTCAAGGAGGCTATTGATTCATACATAAAGGCCGATGATCCGAGTGCTTACGTGGACGTGGTTGACGTGGCTAGCAAGGTGGAATCGTGGGACGACCTTGTCCGCTATCTTCAAATGGCACGCAAGAAGGCGCGTGAGTCTTATATTGAGAGTGAATTGATTTACGCATTCGCCCGCACTGGTCGTTTGGCGGATCTTGAAGAGTTCATATCGGGCCCCAACCACGCAGACATACAGAAAATTGGCGATCGCTGTTTCAGTGACGGAATGTACGACGCTGCAAAGCTCCTGTATAACAATGTCAGCAACTTTGCCCGTTTGGCTATTACACTGGTATATCTCAAGGAGTTCCAGGGCGCTGTTGACTCCGCGCGAAAGGCCAACTCGACGCGCACATGGAAGGAAGTTTGCTTTGCTTGCGTAGATGCTGAGGAGTTCCGGCTAGCGCAGATGTGTGGCCTGCATATTGTTGTTCATGCCGATGAGCTGGAGGACTTGATTAATTATTACCAGAACCGCGGATATTTCGATGAGCTGATAGCACTACTCGAGTCCGCTCTGGGCCTCGAGCGTGCACATATGGGAATGTTCACCGAGTTGGCCATACTCTACTCCAAATTTAAACCATCAAAGATGCGTGAGCACTTGGAACTATTCTGGTCCCGCGTCAATATACCAAAAGTACTGCGAGCTGCCGAGTCGGCTCATCTATGGTCGGAGCTAGTGTTCCTCTACGATAAGTACGAGGAATATGACAACGCAGTGCTTGCCATGATTGCCCACCCGACTGAGGCGTGGCGCGAGGGACACTTTAAAGACATTGTAACAAAGGTGGCAAATATTGAGTTATACTACAAGGCCATCGAATTTTATTTAGACTTTAAGCCATTGCTGCTGAACGATATGCTCCTAGTGCTGGCTCCTCGAATGGATCATACTCGAGCTGTTAACTACTTCTCGAAAACCGGATACTTGCCTTTGGTCAAGCCCTACTTGCGCTCCGTACAATCCCTCAATAACAAAGCTATCAATGAAGCTCTTAATGGTCTCTTAATCGACGAGGAAGATTACCAAGGTCTCCGCAACTCGATCGACGGCTTTGATAACTTTGACAACATTGCGCTGGCTCAGAAGCTCGAGAAGCATGAGCTCACAGAATTTCGTAGAATTGCTGCATACTTATATAAGGGTGAGTTGTGAAAATAAATCAGAACAGCGATTCATTTTTCACTCGATTTGTCGCTTACATTCCAGGCAATAACCGTTGGAAACAAAGCGTTGAGCTATGCAAAAAGGATAAACTCTACAAGGATGCTATGGAGTATGCCGCTGAGTCAGGCAAGCAAGAGATTGCTGAAGAGTTGTTAGGATGGTTCCTGGAGCGGAATGCCCACGATTGCTTTGCGGCATGTCTTTATCAGGTTAGAGAAACAACATTCTCGTCTATATGTGCCTTGCCGCACCATCTACAGATATATCCAATATGTAGGCGGCCTTTTATAAACATTTCAGCTAGAATGTTTTTCATTAGGTGGAAAGAAGATACATAGATTGTACATATTTATATGTACATACTTTCTGAGTATCGGTTGCACCGGTATCAAGACACGCAATAATACATTTTAACTAATTAACCCATTTACCTTTATAATAATATTTCAAGTGCTACGACTTGCTGCGCCCTGATGTCATTTTGGAACTGGCATGGAAACATAAGATTATGGACTTTGCCATGCCCTACTTAATACAGGTAAAGCCACATCTCAAATTCAAATTTTGTTTTTAAAATTTACAGTTGTGGTCCATTTGACAGGTTTTGCGTGAATACACTAATAAAGTTGATAAGTTAGAGTTGAACGAGGCTCAGCGCGAAAAGGAAGATGACACCACTGAACATAAAAATATTATACAAATGGAGCCACAACTTATGATAACCGCTGGGCCGGCTATGGGCATTCCGCCTCAATATGCACAGAATTATCCGCCCGGCACTGCCACAGTTGCTGCTGCGACGACAACAGGGCGCAATATGGGCTACCCATATTTGTAGGCAACGACCAGAAAGCAAATATATAAAATAATTAATGTAATGTGAAAAAGAAATGTATCAGCATCAGAAACATTACCAATACAAAAAGAGTTACAAGCTAATAGTTTATTTTGCGCCAAACTACATCAACACCTACACCACAGCTCCAAAACAGTATGAACCATAATCAGACGTCAAACCGTTCGCGTGTTATAGAGAATCGGAAAAGTTTGATACCACAAAAATATTGGTTAGTGTCCTTATTTTCTCTATTAATAAAATATGTATTCAATAGTGTAATCTAGTGGAGTGTTTTAATGATACGAGTTAAAAAGAAAGTACGTACGTATACATCAAAATGAACGTTCAATTATATAAACAGTTGATCAAAATCATACGTACATGGGTATCGTGCTAATTTGTAATGGCAAATCTCACAGCAGGAATCCTTTCCGACCCTATAAATTGTATCTATCCTTGATCAGCATCAATAGCCGAGTCTATCTGTCTTTTTTGTCATCTAGTACTCAGAGACCCTAAAAGCTACAGAAATCAAATTTTGCATCGAGACTGTGGTAATATCACACTGACAAGTTTTTTAAAAACTATATTTGCGACCCTTCCTGGTACGCATGCCAGTATAGCTAGTCAGATTTCTCAGAGGACTTTCAACCACCACTTTCATATGTTTGCATAATTTCTTACACCAATCCGCACGAGCCTCTTCTCACATCAAATTGATGGACATCGTATGAATACCCAAAGACGTCTTCAGGATCTGATTACTAGGCTTTCATTTTACTTCTCCTTTATCGTACAAGAAAGAAAGTATTTTACATTTTAGTGCTTAAAATTACCTATTCCAGAAAATTAAATAGGCATACTTCGTACGTTCGATTGTTGCTAGATTTTTGGTGGCAGGTCTATTAGTATTTGTATAAGTATAGCTAAATATTCTTTTAATTTTGAAACTAACTATATTTTGCATAAATTCATCATAAGAGTACTAAAAATATCATTCAGCTTATATACATTTTAAAGTTTTCACAGATCTAATTTCTCTTTTTTTTTGTTTGACCAGTTATACCTACATCTGAAGTTTTACACGACATCTATAACAAAAGGTTCACCACATTTTTCGACAACAGTTATTTCCAAACAAAAAGGAGATGGGCCAAAAAAACTGTCTTAAGTATTATAATTCAATTAAAGTTCATTAGCTTGTGCTGGGAAATTCTCTAACCTTATTTTATAACTAGCTGTTTAAAAATTATTCAAACACAGACACAAACCGAGCAACCAATTAATAAAATGTATTAAGTTTACTAAATGAATATGTAAAAAACAAAAAGTAATATTTTAAACAAAACTAAAATTCCCGGAAGGTATTTTTCAAATTACAAGTAAAAAATTATACACCTAATATTCTTGAATTCTTCGGCAGAAGTGAAAGACATATTGCGATTTATATAAGAGTATAAACACTCATAGGCAATTATGCAGATTTCCTAAAGAACCGCATATATAATTTCATTAATTTGAAAATCAAAATTAAAAAATTCCTCATATACATACCTATCCAAATCTGTCTTAATTATGATAATGTGTAATTAATTAAATAATGGAAAAAGTTCTGTAATATACTGTTAACGAAACTGTCTGTGTTTTATACAAAATCAATGTTTTTTCCAAGATGTATTTACATATGTTTAAAATTCTTGCATGTCACCATTTTGTTTACAAAATATACCAATATTCCACTTTTTGAACTTTTTTTTGAACTATGTTCAGTTTGCTGTTTCTATAGAACATATACCCATACGTATGTATGTATATTCCATGAATTATTGTACTATTATTCGAATTATTATTTTTTGTAATTTATATTATATCTATAAATATTGAAAATAAAGATTCAACTAGAAATAAAGTGTTAACGTTTTTCACCTGCGAAAATATGTATACGTTTTTTAGAGGTACGAGTGTTGGAGATGCAGAGAAATTTGCATTTGCCTCCCGTTCTTTTGCATGCCGCTCGTGGCTCTCATTCATCCGAGGTCCTGTTACTTGGCTTGTGGTCAGCCGCGCGCTCTCTCTCTCTCTCTCTCGGCTTCTGCTGTGGAAGCATCTCGCCGCTCTCGCTCTCTTTTCCTGGCCCAGCATCTGATGCTGCTGTTGCTCTCTGCTGTTTTTGGATCTGCAACTACGGGACTTTCATACACGCGGTGCATGTACTTTTCCATCGGCGTCTACAATGCTTTCCACCTGCTTCGTAACAAAATCAGGCTCTTGGCCTCATTACCAGTTATTCAAAGGTTCTTGCTTTGAAATACTCTGATCCTTTGTGGGTTATATTTAGGCGTGACTCCGAACGTTTTGACGCTAACGACCGCTTCTTACAACGTTTCTCCTAGTTTTAATTTGTTACATATCCTGCACCATTGTAACAGGACGATAGCTATGCATTGTCAACAAGTTGAATCACAATACTCAGATCCCAAGCATCTGCGCGCTGTCCACGTGGAGGTGGTTGGAACTAGGACCTGTCCACGTCATGTGGCTTTTTCCTACATATCAGATAAAGAGACACAAATTTGGTTATCCTCATGAAAAATGAGGTGGAACATTTTAGGGCACGTCTAAAGTCGCGCCCAAACTTTTATACCAGGTACTCAATTGTGTGGGATTATGATTTTTGTTTCTACATTCTACGCATCTACATCTACATCTACATCTTCGTTACTTCTCACGAGGAACGGCGCCCTCTGGCGAGAAGGAGAGTGAGCTGGCAACTGTTTCGCTGGGGGTTACGCACCCCCAGCTGAAAACTAAATTCTTCATTCTGGTTAAATTAAAGATCCGATCTGATCCAGATTCGAATAGAATAGATTGCGTTTTTGGCTTTCTCGTATCTTTAAAAATGTGAATGCAGCAGCAGGGTTTCGTCTTTTGCAGGATAGGAACGGCGCGGGTCGAAATCTTGATCTTTTAATAGGATACAACAGTGTTTTCCGACAACTTGAATTTACGTACAAAATACATATGTAATAATATTTCTAAAAGATTAAAAATGTACACAAAAAGAAATAGCTAGACACAGATAAAGAGAACCAGTTGTTTTTTTAATTGGCTGCTATTCAATTATGTAATCTTTGTGTATATATGCTCCTATCACTGTTTTGACTTCACCCTCAATGGCAACATCAAAAGCTACGCCCACAGCAAGCTTGATTTTGAAAAGCTAAAGCTCAAGTGTAAAGAGAAAACTTTTAATATCAAATGGGACTTTCAGTGAATCGTTCCTTTGACTGCCTGCGCTTTTGAACTGAGGGATGCTGTAATCTAAAGGTACTTTACATTTGTCATTTTACCAAGCACGACGACACAAGCTCTGTGCTTTATCCATTCGCATGTGCGAAAAACAGGACTACAATCCGATTAAAGACAGACACACCAGCATGGACATACATATGTTCATATTAAAAACTTCGAGCGGGGTGTAAATAAATGTGCAGTAAACGGCAAAAGTAAAAATCTACCTAAAGTGTATTATTATGTGATACATTTTCACCTGCATACTTACATATGTATGAGTATATAAACATTTATATACGTATCGTGCAGTTATTTTCATATTAAAGTGTATACCGCGCATGCTTCACATGTTCCTGTGGCTGCGCCTTTATGTAGGCAACATTTATCTGTATATTTAAGAAAAATTTGAATATTTTCTAAAATTGCAAATACAGATAGTAACAGCGCATATTAATATACATTTAAAGCATTTTAAATATAAAAATCTTGTAAAAGGATACATATGTAAGCCGAGCGACATATGTATGTACTTTTTGTCCAGCCCAGCATCATTGCTCCATAGCTTTTATTATTGGGGTAGCCACATACACACATACATATGTATCAAGAATTTTGTGAGCCTTTGTTTAAAAATAAATGCGAGTTTGATTGTGTAATCTGCCTAATAACGCACGTGAATAGTTGTCAAATAAATAAAAGACATTAAATTGAACAAACAAATAATTTGGAAAAAACAAAACAAATATATTTCTACTTGTATGTATATGTATATGTGTATGTACTGCATGTGTACGTGTTGCAACATTTTCCTCACCGAATGTATACCACACATACACATACATAGAGAGGACATCAACAACAAAAATGGACAAGAGACTGTTCTCATGACGTTGTTATATTTTAAACAGTTTTAAAAACCTAGATGGAAAATGTAAAAAACTAAAAACCCGAAAAACATTTGTGCCGAGAACGTTTTTGCCGACGAAACTGCTCCGTCCAGAGCCGAACTAACATACTTTTCTTTGCAGAATTAGTGCCAAATTAAGAATGTAAAAAACTTGACCATACTCTCAAAATGAACTCAAAGATTACAATGATAATTATCAGTGACTAAAAATAATATATCCATGTATGTTAACATATGTACTCAAGCACTTATGTACATATTGTATGTATATATAGTGCTATGTTAAAATGAAATGGCTCAAACACACATTTTGTCATATGTATGCAGTGAAAAATAACTTCATGTAGCGCATGCATGTGTATAACATATTATTGTTACACCAACTCATCCATATATTAACTGAAGTACAAAAGTCCAGCTACAAAAAACGCAACCGCTCCGCCTGAATAGGCACATCTCCTAACACTTAAACGTGAAGAAAGCTCGAATCCCGGAGACAACGGCTCGCCCAGGAGTGTTCCAGTTTGTTTATGGTGCTTGGCAATGTATTGGATACCCTTTCTATTTCGCTCATTGGGTTGCTTTGTATGGTTGTGTAAGTATTTCTTTAAATTAAAAATATATCTTTTATCACATTCTTTCATCAGTAGCCGTCCGTATATTTTTGACAACAAGTTCTTAGAGACCATAAAAGCTGGAATAAACAAATGTTGTGTGCAGACGCAGTGAAATCACACTGAATCAAGTTTGTTTAAATATTTCGTTCCACACCCACAAAGGCCGAAAATCTATGGCATTCACGATTTTAAAAATACGAGAAAACCAAAAACGGAGTTCTGTAGATAATGGCCGTATCTATCAGATACCCGAACTAGGATCAGATCTGATCATTATAATAGCCGGACAGAATAAATTAATTAATATTGTCTCTCGCTCTCACTGCCTTGTGCAGTGGCGGTCCTCTAGCGGATGACAACGATCTAAAAG